AAAATACAGCACAGAAACTTTGTGACGTAGTCAATTTATAAAGTTTCTTTCCCCAGCCGTGCTCGCCTGTTGCATTCCGACGTTAATCGTCCTTCCTATTTATTATTTTTTCATTTAAGTTTTTCTACTAATTTCTCGCGTCTTGTTTCATCGATTGATCGATTGATTGATTTCGCGTCTTGTTTCTCTGTCCCATCACCTCTTGTTCTTCATCCTATTATTCCCATCCTTTCCCCATCCATACATCCTATTATTTAATCATTATTCTCTTCATTCTTTCCTTTGAACAATACCATTAAAATTTTTCCCGGACTTTTTGTGGAAGACCAGTTTTCCCTGACCAAGATCAAAATTCCCTGACCTTGAAATTTCTTTTTTCCCTGACTTTTCCCTGACTAAGAACCGGTAACCCTGATTAAGAAGCGCCGGTCCTTCCTTCAGTATTATACTGCTACCTTCGCCCCTCACCTGCTGTAGTTGCGGTACCTCTCCAGGTGTGTAGATGTTCATGGGAACCTGGGGCGCGGCCTGTGGCTCCACCTGCGGGGCCGTTTGGGCCTGAAACGCACGAACGCGTTGTGACGAATCGAAAGTCGTAAACGCGAACCGTTTGTAAGCGGAAAGATGGCGGACACCCTTCACAATCCAAGGTCGTCGTCTTTGCAGCGACGAAACGATCGCGACACTATGAGCTTGCGCAACGATACTCTTATCATCGACGTAACATTAAATTATCGTTATTTATTTTTATCACAATAATATTATTATTACATTTATTATTGTCAACAAAATTAAATAACCCCCAAAAAGAGTTAAATATAAAATACGACAGATGAAGAACTACGAACAAAAAGGTTCGTACTAGTGACATTGACAACCGACGGTTGCAGACGAACCCGCCAAGGCGGCCATTTTACACGGCAAGTCGCACCGCAAAGAATTCACAGTTCCCCAGCGCTGAGAGCCGGGCGCCCGTTGTCAGAAACAAAATTCTAGTAACATTAACATTAGTCGTAAGTGCTATCTCAGCATTAACACTAAAATTAACTTTACGACGTTTCTGACAACGGTCAATGGCCCTCCCCCCCCGAGTTTTTCTGCCGTCGAGAAATCCCCGCTCTCCGTACGATTTCATCGCTGAGTTCGCAACTCGCAGTATTCGCATGGCAGCCGGCGAGGCCTACCTGCGTTTCCAGGCAGCGAGGGTGTTCCACGGCCGGCGCGACGCTCGGCGAAAGAATCCCGCCGTGGGCGACGGTGGGACACCTGCTGGTACGCGGCCGAGACTCGGCGGCGTGTAAGTTTTTGACCTGGCGTCCAAAAAAAAAGAAAGAAGAATAAGATAAACTAAACTAAATAAAACTAACATCGACAAAAAAGATATTTAAATAAAATAAAAAAATAAAATCGACAGCTGGCGCATCGGAGGGCCGATCTGTCTCTGCAACAGGGCGCACCCACTCGTGTTTGCGTATAAAATATATTATACCGAGAAAGTAGCACAGCGTAAAGACTCTGTGTTAGCAGAGGTGGGCTACATCGCATGACAACGGCGGCGCAAATTCTTTGGGTCAAACGTCGTAACACCGAGCAAGCGCCCCGCGCCCGCGCCCCCCGGCCCGCCGTTCGCGCCGTCGGTAACGAAATAAGCTTGCGCAGATCACTCACGCAGGTGAAATCTGAGCGGGTCTGTGGGCAGACGGATTTATTAGAAGGGTCGACTGGCAGGATACTACTGTTGCTCGGCAATGCCGTTTCGCGGCACGCGGACTGTAGGGGGGCGACACTTGGCCGGGGGGGGGCTGCAGCGGGCGCAACAGGCTGCTGCGTCAAACGAGAAGAAAGATAATAAACATGTACTAATTATCACACGAGCGAGGACACAACCGCATAAAGCAGTAGTAACACACAAGCACAAAATAATCAATATAATATATAATATTTAGTATTATTGTGATATTATGTATTTGGTATATATATATATATACTACAAGCATGTGTATGTAGTTATAGTGTATAACTATATATAATGTAAAAAAAAATCAGTATATAGGTACGAGTCGTATAACGACCATGTAAAATAATGAACATATTATTAACTAGAGTAATTACATGCCACACCCAGCCGCTGCACCGGCTGATAACCCGCGTACGGTGGGGCGGACAGTGCGCGTTAGTTGCTGCTTGGTAGCCACTAGATGGGCACTGCGCTGTACTGCGTCTGCCTGCTCAGGAGCTCGTGTATGACGGGTAGCGTCGTCTGGCCGCTTGCCGCGAGGCCACCTGGGGCTGGCAGACGGGGCAACGCAGGGTCAGCGTAACCGGCCGGGAAACTTTTTTTTCTTTTTTTACAAATTTTAAGCCGAAATCGGAAAATATTTACGTCAGGACCCAGCAACCGGTCATTTTTATCGAACAGAAAAAACGTCGCAGACGAAGAATCTCGACAGTTGACCGCTATGAAAACGCGATGGCGCCAGACGCGCGAGAGAGAACCAAGCTTTTGCCGAGTACATGTGAGCGAGCCAGATGGCGCCGGGCGCGGCTCATTTGTTGGCGCGCGTCATAAACAGCGGTTGGCGGGCCTGCGTCGTGTAAGGTAAGGGTGACCATCCCTGCCTGCGTCTGCAACGCGAAGAAACAGAAATAAATAAAAGACGACGGAGTTACTAGGATGAACAAACGATACAGCGGGATCGTCTGCAATGCGGAGAAAATAAAACAAAATAAAAACAAGCAGAGTTAATTGGAAATGAACGCGACAAATACGGAGGTATCGCCCCCTACGAGAGCGATTTCATCGCGTCGAGTCGAGGTTCGGGTGTTGCATCACCCCGGTCGCGTGAGGGACAGTCACGTGATACAAGTTGACCTATACTTTCAAAGTCGAAATCTCCACAGAAAGATCACAGTCATACTTCGTACGTAGACATGGTCTTATTCCACCTCGCAAAGCTATAGCGGCAACCCTAACCCTGAATCCTAACACGTCTAAATCAACTAGTGCGGCCACATTGCGGTACTGTCCCCCGACGCCGGGGAATAGCTATTTCCCGTGAGGTTCATGCATTGCCAGCGTTAATGTAAACAATGTTCGTGTTAAGCTTGAATCACGATGGCGAATCATTTTACAATTAAAAATTAAAAATTATTAAATAGCAAATTATAAGGGATTACAGTAAACACGCCACGCATAAAAAGAACCCGCTGATTTTAAGAACTGTCCAGGTCTGAAATTGGGCACCATAAAGAGCATATTATATAGAGAACCTCTTCAGAGCCTGATAAATAAAGCAGTTCTTATATAAATAAAAAATAGCCGAAAACATTAGAGCAAACTGGGCAATCGGCAAGTATGTGTGCTACACGCAACTGTCTACTATTAGTCAAATCAATTTTCACAGCATTTGACCTTTCATTGTGTTTAATATGATAAGTAAATTAAAGGTGATAAATAAATTAACTCAAATAAATTTAAATAGACATATAATTTCTAATATTAAGCAGTTGGTTAATTATTTAGTGTCAATTATTCACTAATTAAAGCCAATTTTACTAGATAATGTATACAATATCCCCCCCTCCAAAATAATTAAGAAGAACCTCTTCAGGCTGATTTCTCACTATGTACCATATATATAAGAACCTCTTCAGCCTGAAACAGAAAATCACGGGTTCTTTTATGCGGGTGTTTACTGTATAATAATAAGAAGAAAACGAATAATGTTTTCCGACGGCTACACCAGATGGCGACTCTGTACAATTGCGAGTGACCTCACCTGCTGCCCCGTGGGTTGGCTGGCCACGCGGGTCCCGCCCTCTGGGAGCACGTCCATGACCTTGAACGGTGTGGGCTGACCTTGACCCCGGTCTTTTGCGCGAAACAGGCGATCTTTCAGCACGCCGACCTGCTTCTAAAATACAAAACAAATGAGTAAGGACGAGCCATCAGGGAAGCAAAAAATTAAAAGGGTAATTCACTTATCATTCACTCACCCTCTTCTATATTATATTATCTATATTATATTATTTATCTTCATATTATTACACTTATTCACATAATATAATTATTTACTGTTATTACATACTGTTATTTTGTTCATTTTAATGCTGTTTAAATGCTTCAAACTTGTGTGCATAAAACATGAAGAGAAAATATAGCAAAGGTTTGTGCTGCTAATTAATTATTTGTGGTGCATCTGACTGCTTGTGGACGATTTGATTATCTCAAAACATATGCCGTCTCGGGAGAAAATATTCGGGAGCCCTTCAGTACAAAATGGCCGCCGTAAGAGAGACAGAGACAGGGAGAGAGAGAGAGAAAAAGAGAGAGAGAGAGAGAGAAAGAGAGACAGAAGAAGAGAAAGAAGAGAAAAGAGAGAGAGAGACTAGAAAGAGAAAGAGAGAGAGGAGAGGAGGAGAGAGATGAAAGAGTAGACAGAAAGAGAAAAGAGAGAAAGAGAGAGAGAGACAGAAAGCAGAAAGAGAGAGAGAGAGAGGAGATGAGAAGAGCACAAGAGAGGACAGAAAGAAGAACGAGAAAGAGAGAAAGACAGAAATAGAAAAGAGAGGAGAGAGAGAGAGAGGGAAAGAGAGAGAGAGAGAGGGAAGAGAGAGAAGAGAGAGAAGAGAGAGAGAGAGAGAGAGAGAGAGAAGAGAGAGAGAGAGAGAGAGAGAGAGAGAGAGAGAGAAGAGAGAGAGAGAGACAGAAAGAGAGAGAAAAAGCAGAGAGAGAGAAAGGAGGCGCAGATAAGAGAAAGGGAAGAAGAGAGAAGAGTCGAGAAGTAGAGATAGGCAGCGGAGAGAGGCCCACGGCGGGGCGCGGTGAGGACGCGGCGCGCCCCGTCTAAAGGCTCGAAACCGCCTCGGCTGCGAGCAGCCAGCGTGAATAGTAGAGGCTGCGTCGAGGACTACCTGAGATGCAGCAGTCTGGCCGGTAAAAGCGCGCGGAGGGGCCGATGGCAGGCCCGTGTCGACGTCAAGGGTACAGCCTTCAGCTGTCAGCTGCCTTGTGCTGAACGCAAGCTCCACCCAGCCTCCACACGATGCATGCACATTCTCGGCATCAGTCCTCGCCGGGAAAAGAAACATAAAACAATATAATATATATATAATTAATAATATAATATATTTAATAATCAGGAATCATTTTCAGGTGTCTGCCGACGATCAGAATATTAAACATTATATATAATAATATAATATAATAATTATTATAATAATATCAGGAGATCCCAGTCCTGCGAGCGACAGAAAATCTGTCAACAATATATATATATAATAATAATATAATAATTATTATAATAATCAGGAATACATCAGGTCCTGCCGAGCGAAGAAATATAAACAATATATATATATAATAATAATATAATAATTATTATAATAATCAGGAAACTCAACACATCAATTTAACATCAAGGTCCTGGGCGACGCGAGAAGAATATAAACATTATATATATATATATAATAATAATAATAATAAGCAAATAACATATATGATATATATATAACAATATAAGTCCGCGACGTCGGATAATCGAGAGACAAGAATCGCCGC